CTCCAGGTGAGGCACCGGCTGGGCCCTCTCCGTGCCCCTCCCTGCACAGTTCCCGTTTCCCTCTGCCTTTCCCTTCCTCCTGCCCAGTTCTTCCTCCTCCCCTCTCCTCCCTTTTCCTTCTACCCCTTTCTTGAGAGTCAAATAAATGAAACAAACAAAAATCCAGGAAACTGGTTGTTGGGAGGAAAACGGACTTGGCATAAAAAGATGTATGTACTTAGTAAGAAAAGGCACTGTTCTTTGGAGCGTAACATGGGAGCGTCATTTAAAGTAGACATTTTGTTTACTTAAACCACGGCTCCCTAAATCTAGAGAGAAAGTGTAGGATTCTCTCAGAGAACGAAAATCCCACTAAGGAACAGTTCTTAAATGTCTCAGGAGGTACTAAAGAATTTTCTTGGGGGTAATTTCTGATTTGCCTCACAGACAGTAAATGTTCTTCTTCCAGCCTAAACTATAGATCTACCGGGGGCAGTTTCCAGGGTTGACTATCCTGACTTCAGTATTCCCAATTAAAAGAGAATAGCCATAAAAAGTGCAGATACTACTGTCAGGCAATAAACTAGACCTTATCAGTGATAGTGGTGCACATTACAAACTTCAAACTCATTCCTTGCTCTAATCCATCAGAAACTTCCTGGCTTTAATAGGCTATAAAGGGCAGGAGCTTTGAAGTGCCTGGGATTAGGATCAGTAATAGACAGACTGAATGAGAAACTAAATGCAGGTGGAACATACTCTATGCCTCCTGAATGAAAAAGAAATCCAATTAATCAAACAGTCCTCAACCCTAGCTGCCAGCGCCAGCCAGCAGCTCACACGGTGGCCAAGGCAAGGGACAAAGCGATTAGCGATGAACCGCCTGGGGACCATAGTGCGCACTCACTTTAAGGAACTGATTCGAAGCCTGGAGACGGCATGCTCTGCTGACTTGCCCAGTTGGAAGTGAGGCCATCTTTTTTTTTTTTTTTTTTTAAGGAAAGCACAGTATCAGAGCCGAGATAAGGAAGGAGAAAACTAATGCCTTTTAAACTGAGCTTTCATGTAAACAAATCAGCTGAGATGGCCGAGGGAAGCTGAGGTCTGTTTTCCCAAGCCTGCTGGCCTTTGATCCCACTGATTCCTGAGCTCTCAGACCCTCGTGGCTGCAGCTCACACCCTGGGCGCACAGTGAGCTGGGCCACCCCAGAACAAGAGTGAGATGGCTGACTAAACGGGTCACGCTGCCTCAGAAATGGCATTACTGTTGACAAAGCAGGAAACTTCATGCAAGCCTAAGGATGCAAATAATGTGGCCAGTCCCAAACTGACCCGGCTGGGAGGCGCGCCGACACCCAAAGCAGGCCGTTCCTGAACACAGCACCTTCCCACCCTTTTTACCTTCTGGGGGATTTTTATTCTGATTATTCCAGACAACGAGCAGCTTGGACAGACTGGGCACCTTGGACACTTCAGTGATGACCCGGAAGAGGCTCTCCACTCGGTCGTAGGTGAGGACGATGGCGGTAAAACCTTGGGACTGTGGTGGAATCAGTGGGAGGAAGAGTGGGTTGCTCACACTGCCCCGCTTCTGCAAGAGAACAGATGAAGAGGAGTCAGCGAAGGGTCTAGTAACCATGGGGCTGATCTCTTTGCCACTGCTGTCAGCAGGCTAGAACATGGGAGATTGGGTGGCTGTCACCGTGACCAGCCCAAGAGCTTTTGTACGGACTCTCTTTAATTAACTTTAGCTCTGATGCCACTAAAACAGGAGCAGAGAATGTCTGTAGCCCAGAAGAGATTGCTAGTTAAACCCAGCAGATGAAATGCATGCATTATCTCCATTCTCTCCTCAAGTCCACTAAAGTGACCATAGATCGGAAATAGAATTGGACGACGACAGTGAAATGAGAGAGGCCACCACAGCTGATGAGCAGCAGGGACGGGTTTCTGGAAGACTGGAAGGGTGAAGTGGTAACGGGGCAGGAGAATGAGAGTGGAAGCGAAGTGCCTACACAGAGGCGGGCCCACGAAGGCAAACCAGTCCAAACTGCTCAGCCCCCAAAGGCTCAGAACGGAGTTCAGCAGGCACCTTGTGGGGTAAGAGGAGGGGCAGGGCTGAAAACAGGAAGACTGGTTAAAAATATGTGTAAGGAGCAAAAAAAGACCCAGATCCACAAAACTTCCCTTCACCCAGCCACTCAGCCAGAAGACTCCTCTTCTTGCCCACCCCTGCAGGGGGAGGGAGGTATATTCTCTGGGGAACTGAAGCTCTGGGTATGGAGATGTGGACACCTTTGGAAGGAACATGCAGGTGCCAGTCTACGTTCTGAGTGATGAGCCCCAGAGCCTTCTTGCTCTCCAGCTCCCCAAATGCTGGCGGCCATGGAGCCCACTTGCCCCTCTAGCACCTCACAGCCCTCCGGGAAGTAGGCTTGCCCTCACACACAGAGCTTCCTTCCGGTCAGGGTTTCAGTGATTCCCTGGTAATTATGAACAGATCCTAGAATCACAGCCGTTTCAACAATATCTTCCGCATAATGACAGAAACCAAATGAACGAATAGAAAAGCAGGAACTCAGGGGAAACAGAGACAAGAGAAAAGCAGAAGGCCATTAAAACAACATCAATAAATTATATCCTCAGGAAGAGAATTTTTCATCCATGAAATAAGAATAAATTGCTATTTTTATTTAAAAAGATCTATCAAAGAACAGGAAAGAATACTTGAACGTTAAAAATATAGCTTAATTTTTTTTAAAAGCAGGATTGAAAGAAAAAGGCAACATATTCCAATCTAGTGAACAAAAAGGGCAGAGATAAAAAACGGGACAAAAAAGATGAGAAAATCCAGGAGGTCCAACATCCATCTAACAGGTTCCTGAAAAAGAAAACACAGAATACAGAAGAAACAAAATTACCAAAGAAATAAGTTCTCAGAACAGTAGAAGAGACATGAGTTTTCAAATTGAAAGGGCCCAAGAAGTAATTAGCACACTGAATTTGAAAAAGACAAAAAAACAAAAAAACAAAAAGCAAAACAAAATAAAATATATCAAAGCACATCACTTCTGACACTGGGAATAAAGAGTGTGAATACATAAAATGCATAAATCCTGGCAAGGAGTTCTAGGTGTGAGTTCACTGTAGAATTCTCTCAATTTCTCTGTAGGTTTGAAATTTTCTCAAAATAAGGTTTCAAAAGTACTGACGGAAATTCAAATTCTTTGCTACCATTAAAACATTAAGTAACTTTTGATACAGTAACATAAGCAAAAATATTTTTGTACTGATAATAAGATTGTTAAAACAACTTTGTATTTTTAAACAGCTTTTGTGAGATATAATTCATATAATATACAATCCACTCATTTAAAGCATAAAATGGTTTTTGGTACATTAATTTTTTTAAACCATGGTCAAACATAACATGAAATCAGCATTTTAACCATTTTTAAGGGTACAGTTCAGTGGCATTAATTACATTCACATTCATATTATGTGAAAAGTCCAGGACCAGACTTCATCTCTGCCAGAAGGTGGCTGAACATGAAATGTCCTATCTGTTATTCTGGCCACTTACACTTCCCTAGCGTTTCTCCTACTCTGGCATTCCCAAGGTTCCCCTTCAACCTCATCCTTATCACTGATGGACACCCATCACCACGTAGAGGACAACAGCTGTTTGCCAGATGTAACAGTGTGGGACAGGAAATGTACACAAACACATGGGATACACATGGGATGGGAACTCACAGAGACTGAATGGGATTCCAGGAGTCCTAATGTAATCAGGATATTAAAGCCAGAACGTCCACAACAGGCCATAATTAGATTTCACAGCCACGAGACACAATAGGAAAGGCTATCTGCTCAATGTGGACTTTCTGTGTCTATGACCTCATGCTCTGACATTAAGCTGCAGTCTTAGGAAGGTGCCTGGACTTTAGCACTGGTACCCTAGCATCTCATCACATTTGTAGGAACCCCTTTTACTTTTCGACCCCAAATCTTATTCTTTTATCCTCCTGACTTTTATGGAAACTGGTCAGTAAGTAGCCTTATGCTTAAGTCACAACTAATCCTGAAGGTGCATGGCCTCTCTGCCATCACCATCCCAACCCACTCATTTACTCCTACCAACACAATACTCTCTTACGCCTGAAAAGCACCCCTTTAAATGGAAAAGGCAGAAAAACAGATTTTTTGAAGAAGGGTGTAAAATAACGTAATGTGTGATGAAAGATTTACCGAGTATTTACTAAGCGTTAGGCACTGGGCTTTACACGTATTATCTCACTTGAGTTTCACTCACAACAACCCCCTGGTAGACACAGTTATTCTTATTTTGCACATGATGAAACTATAAGATTAAAAATAGTGAATGATGTCTAATCATTTGCTTTACCAGAAAGAAAGAAAGAAAGAGAGAGAGAGAGAGAGGAAGGAAGGAAGGAAGGAAGGAAGGAAGGAAGGAAGGAAGGAAGGAAGGAAGGAAGGAGGGAGGGAGGAGGAGGGGGGAGGGGGGGGGGGGAGGGGAGGGGAGGGGAATGATGCTAGGTGCTCAAGGTTTTGTGTGTGGCTTGTCCTAGCTCCAGAACACTGGATGGTGGAGGTTCACGGCCCTTCTCCATGCCCTCCTCCTCCGAGTCCAAGGCAGGCATCACCATTTTATAGACTCTAGAAAATGGAACTGTGGGGAGCACCAGAGTTTATTACTTCTAACTCTTCTCTGAGACAAAAATGCTGGAAGTTCTTTATCCTTGATAATCACATGTGGGCAAGAGCCCACCCCAAACTCTACGATTTCCAAAGGTACGTGGAATAAATACGTAACACTGACACAGAGGAAACACATAAATTAAAAAAGGTAAATACATCTCTAACACAGAAGGAAAAACTATTAAAACCCCAACAAAATGAGGTCTGTTCTTGGGAGAAATGGGGAATGCTAGCACACTCGAACGCCTGTAGGACATTAAAAGGAGAGGAAAGTTCCCTGAGAGATGCAAAGCTTGGTTTCGGAAAACGAATCCCTTGGAATTTAAACTGAGGCACCCCCTGAAGGGCATCACAGCTCTGATTTCAAGGCACTGCCAGGAGAAGGAACCAGAGTCTCTGGCAAGACGACAGATCGGGTCTCATCCCCTTGGCCAGCTCCATTTGGGAAGTGGAGGGCGGTGGAAGGGGAGGAGGAGAGGCGGGGAAGGGGGTGGGTAGGACCCGACGGTAACTTGTCTTGGTGTTCTACTTTTCCACACTACTCACTTGCACACCAGGTAAGGCTTGAGAAGGCGGAAGCAGAAGAGGCAGCCTAGGGGCGCGTGGGTGGCTCAGTCGGTTAAGCGTCCGACTTCAGCTCAGGTCATGATCTCACAGTCCGTGAGTTCGAGCCCCGCGTCGGGCTCTGTGCTGACCGCTCAGAGCCTGGAGCCTGCTTCAGATTCTGTGACTCCTTCTCTCTCTGCCCCTCCGCCTCTCACGCTCTGTCTCTCTCTCAAGAATAAATAAACATTAAAAAAAAAAAAAGAAAAGAAAAGAAGAGGCAGCCTAAAGGGGAGACAGCACGCCAAGGAGCAGAATAGGGACTGAAATCTTACCAACACTTCCCCATGAAATACAGATCTTGAGATGAGCACAGACCTAACCCAGAAGCGGCCGAGCATGTATTTACTGGGATACGGGCTCAGTGCTTTACCGTAGGATATACCGCCAGGGTTATATGAGGCAGGTGACTTCAAAACCCGAGTCGACATGTTTGGGGTCAGTTTGGGAACTGTGTGTCCTTAATAGGAATCTAGATTCTTTCACTTAGCAGCAGTGTGACCGGGGCAAAGTACTTAACCTCTCTTGCACCTCAGTTTCCATAATTGTGATAATAATACTTCTCCAGCTATGAGAAATAATAAGAGTAATAATTTCTAACAATGTTATTTACATTTCTTAATCAGCATTTCTTAACAACCAAGAGGCTGTTAATAAAAGTAAATATTTAACATATGTAAAGTACCTCACACATGCAAGCATTCGATGAATGGTAACCAATGGTTGACCCTGTGGGAGAAGTAATTTCTCTGGGCTTTACTTTACACATGTCTTGAAAGTGGGATGGCAATTGTCAAGTCTCTTCCAGCAAGAAGTCTAGATGAAATCCTTCTTCCTCTCTACCTTGACCTTATCATGCTCTAGGGTCCTAGTTTATCCAGATTCTCTACCTCTACTCCTTCTCCAAATATACTGTTTTTATTTTCACAGTTTCCTCTTTTCCTTCCTACTCTTTATATTTTACCTTGAAAGCTCCATGAAAGCAAGAACCATACCTGTTTTAAGACCTAGCGCCTAGCATAGTGCCTAGCGTTACCCGATGAAAACCTGTTTAAAAATGAGTAAGTTGGGGTACCTGGGCCGCTCAGTTAAGCAGCCAACTCTTGATTTCAGCTCAGGTCATGATCTTATGGTTCATTAGATCAAGCGCTGCCTCAGGCTCTACACAGAAGGTGCAGAGCCTGCTTGGGATTCTTTCTCTCCCTCTCTCTCTGCCTCTCGCCTGCTCGTGTACATTCTCTCTTTCTGTGTCTCTCTCTCTCTCTC